AAAAAAAAAAAAAAAGTGTAATAAAAATCTATATTCATTAAAACTGTTCTCATCTGCTTTCCCTTAAAGTCTGATCTTTCTTGTAGGTTTTAAATGTAATGCTCAAAAATGAGATAAAATTAAATTAAAAAAAAGCATGCAGAGGGCTTCCTGTGTCTGTGTTGTGACTTTTAAGGGGTTTAAAGAACATCGTATGTAACAGCTCATCCCATCGTCTACTAAATGTCAGGACTCCTCCATCTAACTCCGTTTATTGAATGCAGGTGTGGCATTGATTTACGATTACTGGAATTCATTTTGGATTCTAGCACACAATTGTGAATAAAAAAACAAACATTAAAAAGGGTGAAGAGAAATTCATCAGCCACAATCAGCTGACTTTTACTGAATGGAGGTTCCAGCAGACGACTCACCTCTTTTTGGCTGCCTCAATGAGCTTGATTTTCCTGCCATTCATTTCCTTTCCAGACAGTTTCTCAAGGGCGTTTTTCAGATCACTGTAAGAGGCAAACTCAACAACCCTGTGAAAGAGACAATATTAGTTATTAATGATCTTACACGTGCTTGTTGTCAGGTGGTAGTTTTCCTACTAGAGATAATGGTCTTACCCTTCGTTGACCTTGGGCCGGTGTGCGTCTGCAAATGTCACCTCTCCAGCTTGTCTCATGAAATCTTTCAGGTCCTACACATGTAAACATCAGTCAACTAACGGAGAGGCTCGGGACACAGGCAGAGACATAAAACAGGACTGATTTACCCAAAAAGAGAGATGGTTAGATTCTCTGAGAGGACTACACAGGCTACTGCAGATGAGTCCAAGAGGATGAGTCCAAGAACGTCACATACTGTTTAATCAGCCATTCAACACAATCTATTTTACAAGAAAAATACACAACCTTAGAGAAAAATACAGGTCAAATGCGTGCCAATTTAGAGATCGACCAATTTTTTTTTGACATTTGCAATTACAGGCTGAGTATTTGCTCCAGCTTAGAGATTCTTGGACCCACTGCTCATAACTAAAGAGACATGAACACCATCTGCATGAACTGAACTGCAGTGGCACCGCTTGGGCAGCGTTTGGCACTAAGAGCCCCATTTTCCCTGGCAAGGAGGTCACAGGGCTCCGCGCCGGGACCGCCCCTGTCTCGGCACCCCGCCTCAGTAAAGAGAGTGAACAGGGTGGAAGAGAGGAAACTACTACCTGAGAGCGAAACCCTTTGGGGTGGGCCGCAGGCTCTCCGAGCCCACCATAACCTCGGGATAACAGCAGATTATATCCATGGGCACCTGGGAGGAATTCACACTCTCTCTCGCGATGTGCGGGAACACCAGAGGGGGGAAGGGAGGGGGGATATCGATCGATCGAAGCCCCTCAAATTAACGAACCATCGATCAATACGCCACCACCATCACCATCGACTCTCGCTCTTTCCTCTCCTTTCTCTCTGCCAACTCTCTGTTTCCTCTCTCTCGCTCTCAGCCTCACACCAGGCGCCCCCCTGCCTTCGACAGGGGGTGTTGCGAGCGAAGGGGCCGCCAGCGCCTCTAGTGTGGAGCGAGCGCTCACATGACCAGCAGGCATCAACTAGGAGTAGGACAGACTGGCTGACACCACAGGCTCAACCCAGACAGAAGGACCCAGAAGGGGTTAACTCCACCATAAGCGAGCTCTTCCATATGACACAACAGTCAGGCTGGCAAATAAAGGGGTGAAGAATTGGTTAAAATTTGAAAAAAAAAAAGAAACAGAGTGTTTTGTTGTTGTTACTGCTCTTTGAGTCATTACTTAACTGCACGAGATGCAGATTAATAAGAGCGGTGCTTATTAAAGAACAATTTGGGCCTCATCACAGTAACAGACTGTTTACTACAAATTAGCAGCTGATTTGATTCCAGAGACAGAGTTTCTATGTTTTTAGCAGTTTATAATTCTGTATGTGTATATTGTTGGAAGCAGACTGTTGGAGGCGATAACATTTGTGGTGTTGCAGCTTTTAGAGACTTGCTGTGCATAAAAAAACATGTGGCAATACTAACCTGCCAGCTGACGCGAGAGGACAAGTTCTCCACGATCAGGCGGTTCTCAGTGCGCATCGGAGGAGGGTTTCGACTGAAAAACATAAAGGTAAAAACAGACTCACTCAACTGAACAATAATACTGTGGGGCTGAGATACAGCCGTTAGAGATCTCATTAGCTACTTGTCAATAGCAAGGCTAATTCATGTCAAGGATCTTTAAAATGCAGCGAGCACAGACGAGCCGTGTGCTCGCTGCATTTTAAGTGAGCTGTCGAACATTCCCAGTCTGTAGGTCATTAATTACAACGGGAAAAAGAGAAACACGGACACCAACAGTGGCTATTAGAAAGGGACTGAAATAATCTAATCGTTGACCTTTCACCAAATTATACAGTGTACTTTTAAGGCGATTCATTTACACGTGTGCCTTCCTTCATCTGCCATTATAATGCTAATATAATGCTAAATCTGTGGGCGGTGTCAGTTTTTTTATTCGTACCTCCGACTGCTCTGGGAGCCTCGGCCATAGCGATCAGAGAAGCGTCCTCCTCCGCCGCCAGCTCCTCTGCCACGGCCACCTCGCAGACGTACACGGGCGTGCTCAATAGTCACCCTGAAATTACAGGGAAAAAGGTCTTCTAGTTATTCTTTTAAAATAACCAGTCACCATGGAAACAGAGAGAGCAAGGTGGAGAGGAAAACAAACTCAGTTCATTCACATTTGCCGTAATGAACTCGTACCTTTCATTGCACAGCTCTTTGCCATCAAGCTCGTAAACAGCATCTTCAGCATCTCTTGGGTCGTCAAACTCCTTCAATAAACAGAACAACATCTCTTAACCTTTGTGTGAGAACAGTAACTATTTTAAAAGATGGCAGTGAAGCCTTTCTTCCCTCAGATTAAAAAAAAACAAAACGCACGTACAAAGCAGAAAACGACCCACTTCCATACTGATCACGGAGCTGTTTAACTAACGATCGCAGTTTTAATTTTACTTAAAATTGTAGCAAACAGGATCAGGCCTCCCATCATTTTTAATAAATCATTTCCCAGGAGTTTTCTAGACAATAATGAACAGCACTTGCTCACAAATGGTGATATAAGTCACCAGTAGGCAGGTATTTATACATTTTCCCAGTTTTATTCCTCCTTTAATAATGACGCAGGTTCATTACAGGTTACAGGACACTCGCTGGCTCACCACACACGATTTTTCTGTAGCTTTCCACTGGTAATCTGAGGGGGCAACAATACAATAACATTTTCCAGGACATCCTAGATAATTTCCAGGATATTTGGCCCACTTGTTTCCACGAGTCTATTAATATCCAGGTTTTCCAGGATGCTAAAGAACCCACTGTCAATCTGTGAATGATCATATCAAAGGGTCTGACTATGTATGCAAATTAGATATTTAATTAAATGATTTTAAATAAATGTATAAACATTTCTAAAGGCAAAATTAAATCCATAACACAACGCTAAACGCTGTCCCATGGTTATATCACGTTACTGAGACTCTTTTATGCTCTTACATTAATTGATTAAATGAATAAATGTGCTGTGCAGGAAGCCCCATCGGGCAGCACTGGTTTCAAACAGGTCCACACTGGTCGTCGTGCTGTGTAGGTGTGTCAACACACAGGACACAGAACAAAACCAAGGCCGTAAATGTGAATGTAAGTTACGCTAAAACACTCAGAGCCTGATTAAGATAAATAACAGGATCTGCTGACGTGAGCTATTAATTATTCCCATTTATTTTAATGCAATCGGGCAACATCCTCGGCATATTAAACACAATAACCTTTTTTTTTTTTCTCCCATGACTCACCACGAAGCCGAAGCCTTTCTTGAGGTCGATATCTCGGATGCGGCCGTATCCTTTGAAGAACCTCTCCACGTCTTTCTCTCGGGCAGACGGGCTCAGGCGGCCGATGAAAATACGACATCCGCTCATTTTCGCTGCTGTTAGTAACGTTAGGTTGTCTGCAAACAGGAGTGAACACATTGACGTTGGAACTACAAAGATTTCGCCAACACAGTTTAAAAGAAAACGATGAAAATAAAAAAACGAGCCGAAAACGTCGAAGTCACAAGTGCCCTATTTTTTTTTTTTTTTTCTGTAGCCAGCTAGCCAGTATGTCGGGGCCTAGATACCAAATCTTATACCTAAGCAGCGTTTGGCGAGCTAAACTACACAAACGACGCTTACACACGACAGATAACGGTTACTTTAACAAAACGACAACAGCATTGTGGCATTATGGTGGATTTCAGTCGCTGTACACGCACCTTTAGGGGGTATTTCCTTTGCTGACTGTCGACGGTGACCGCAAACTCCAGAATCAAACAAAATGGAGCCTCTGCTGATCGGGGAGGGGGCACATAACGGAGGTCGCCTCTTCTTCTACGAGGTGTAACGGCAGTTGGCGCCCGTTACCGCCATCTCCTGGGAATGTACCGTTAGTAGTTATTTTTAATTTAATTTGTGATATTTGTTCAGTATATCAGTATTGTTGTTTTTT